ATGATAAGGTGGTCTGAAGTGTTGTTGGGCATTTTAATACTTGCTTGCCTCACCTGGTCTTCAAAATGATAAAGTAACATCACTAATTTGGAGGCAGCCTAGTTTAGTCGTTGAGCCCCTGGGTGTTGGAGCCAAGCTGGCTGGGTTTAAGTCCCTGCTCACCACTCCCAGACACATCATTTTTAGAAGTGTGCACGTATCATTCTTTTTTGCCTCAGGGCATGAATCTTGTGCTCTTAATGTGACTGATGCAGCGGGAAGTAAGGGTCAGCTTTGTGGTGCAAGAGTGGCAGCACTCACAGCAAGCTCCAGCAGAGCACTGGCAGTTCTGCTGGTGGCTGTGTCTGGGTTCTTGGGCTGACAGAGTGGCAGAGTGGGTTACACTGTCCAGTGCTGGGCATTAACTTTCCATGACTTGACTTGGAGTATTGTTCATGACTGCAGAGTCTTCAACCCAGCCATGCTGGCAATTCTTCGAGCTATACAATGATCTTTTAATACATTCTTTTTGGCTTAAACCAAACTTTTGGTTTCTTTTAAATGTAACTAAGGATACTGACTGATACAATGACCTTGAGAAAATTTATTAAGTTTTCTCAACCTAGTTTCTCATCTGTAAAGTAGCTTAGTAATATTTATCTCAGGGTTAGTGGGAGACTTAAATATGTTACTGCATGCAAGCACTCATTATGGTGGCAGTATATAGTAAGGGTCCCTAAAATATTAACTATTATTATTGATATTGTTAATAACAAAAAACTTGTCAGGCCCCAAAATAATGGACTGTCTATAGTAAGAGTGAATCATGGTCTGAGAAAGTTCTCAGCATTTACCTTAGAGTTAGGAATGCGAGCTTGGAGTCTTAGAAATTAGAGATCATCACATGTTACTTTCAAAACTGAAGTACTGTGACCCCATCTGAATGGTTATGTTGAAGAAATAATTCCCTTTTTATTGTAATGACAACACTCAAAGTAACCCAGAAACTTTTATGGCTCATGGCTTTAATTAATGGTTGGTTGATTTAGGCAACTATATATATTTTGCTTTACCTATTTAATTTAAATTTAACATACGGATTGAAAAAGGCACATATCTTAAGTTTATAGCTTATCATAGAAAGCAAGATATTGAACATTACCAATGCTACAAAGGCTTACTTTGTGTTCTCATCCTCCAAAGGTAAACACTACACAGATTTCCCCTACCATAAGTTAGTGTTGCCTGTTTTCAAACTTTATGTAAATGAGGTTATATAGCATGTCCTCTTTTTGTCGCTAAATGTTGTATCTTTGAGAGTCATCCATGTTGTTGCACACAGAAATAGTTTTCTTCATTGCTATACATGCCACACTTTATTTATCCATTCTATTGTTAATGGACATTTGGGTTGCTTTTAGTTTGGTGCTATTAAGAATAATAGACTATGACTATTCCTGTAACTATCTTTTTCTGCACATATGTATGCATTTCTTTTGGATTTACACCTAGAGGTTGAACTGCTAAGTCATAGGGTGGGCATGAGCTTAATTTAACTGGCAACAAAATTTCCAGAATAGTTTTTAGTAATTTACACTCTCAAGCATTCCATGAGTTTCTGTTGCTCTATATCCCAATACTTGGCATTGTCAACCTCTTTAATTTCAGCCATTCTGGGATGTGTGTAGAGATATCCTGTTATGTTTTCACCTTGCATTTTCCTGATAACTAATGATGGTGAGCACCTTTTCATGTTCATCGGCCAGTTGGATATCCTCTTTTATAAAAATCCTATTCCTATTTTTTTACACTTTCTTTAAAAAAACTCAGTCTTTTTCTTATTGATTTATAAGAGTTCTTTATATACTCTAGATATGAGTTCTATGTGTGATTTATACACATAAAATATCTTCTCCCACTTTGTATCTTGCCATTTCATTCTCTTAATGATTTTTTTGATGAATAGAAGTTTTAAATTATAAGTCAAAATCTTTCCTATTATGGTTAGTGCTTTTACAAAAAAAAATTGGCTTTAAAAAAAAGCAGTTTTAGGAAAACTTTAGCATTTATGGAAAAATGAGCAGAAAGAATAGATTACCATATACCACCCCCCAACCCCAGGTTCCCCTATTATTAACATCCTGCATTGGTGTGATAACCAACTGATGAACCAATATTGATTCATTATTGTTAAGTAAAGTTCATAGTTTACACTATACTTCACTCTTTGCACTGTACACTTTTTGGGTTGTGACAAATGAATCATGTTATTTATCCACCATTACAGTACATTTCATATGCTTATTTTCCATCTGTGTATCTTCTTTGGTGAGGTGTCTGTTATGGTCTATGATCAGTTTTGTAATCTGGTTGTTTGTTTTCTTATTGTTGAATTTTAAGAGTTCTTAGTACATTTAGGATAACAGTCCTTTATCAGATGTGTCTTTTGCAAATATTTTCTTTCAGTCTATGGGTCGTCTTATCATTCTGATGTTGTCTTTTGCAGAGCAGAAGCTTTTAATTTCAATGAAGCTCAGCTTTCCATTACTTTTTTCATGGATTGCTCCTTTGGTGTTTATATAAAAAGTCATTGCCATACCCAACCTAGGTCATCTAGGTTTTCTCCTATGTTATCTTCTAGGAGTTTTATAGTTTTGTGTTTTACATTTAGCCCTATGTTTCATTTTGAGTTAGTTTTTGTGAAGGGTGTAAGGTCCTTGTCTAGATTCTTTCTTTTTCTTTTTTTTCTTTTTCTTTCCTTCTTTCTTTCTTCCTTTCTTCCTTTCTTCCTTCCTTTCTTTCTTTTTCTTTCTTTCTTTCTTTTTCTTTCTTCCTTTCTAACTTTCTAACTTTCTTCCTTTCATTCCACGTGGATGTCCAGTTGTTCTACCATCATTTGTTGAAAAGACTGTCTTTGTCCTATTATATAACCTTTGCTCCTTTGTCAAAGATCAGTTTACTATATTTATGGGGGTCTTCTTCTGGGCTCTCTATTTCTGTTCCACTGATTTGTCTACTCTTTACAATTACCACACTGTCTTGATGACCACTGCCTAGACACCCCCAGTGTGGAAAATAAAGCTTATTACATACAGGATGGAATTGTGGCCCCGTATCTATTTGGATTTGCTTTTCATGGACCCAGAGATAGTTTATTTGTGACCAACTTAAAATGTACTAGTCTGTCCCCTTTCAGAGCCAAGTGATGGAAACCCAGGTCAAACTTAGGCAAAGGAAGGAATGTTTTGGTTGACAGGAATTAGGAAGAACTGAAGTGGAACTGGCATCAGATATATTCCAAATCTCTATCTCATTCTCTCTCTCTCTCTCAATATCTTGATCTGTTGATCTCTTCACTTCTACGTCTCCTTTATTGGATTTTAAACAAGAAAAATAAAAAACCAAAAAACCCACCTCCTACTGGCTTAAAGAATATCCCCTTGTTTTCCTTCAAGTGTTTGTTCAAATCTCACTTCTTCATTGAGGCTGACCAACCCTCACTTCATTCAGTACCGAAACCTGTCCCCTCCACTCCTGCTTTCCTGATCCTTCCTACTATGTTCTACGTTTATATTTTCCCCGCTTAATACTTCCTAACATATGGTAGTATTTTCTTATTTATGTTTTTAATGTATTATCTTACTCAGTGGGAGTGTTAGCTCTACAAGGGTAGGGGTCTTGTGTATTTTATTTACTGAGATATTCCAAACACCTAGAACAGGGCACCTAGAGCATCCTACATAGTAGGTGCTCAGTAAATACTGTTGCATGAATGAAAGGGAATCTATTATCTCATGTAAGAAGAAGTTCTGAGTTGGGTGGTCCCAGGATTGTTGGCTCTGTGGCTCAGGGGCATGATTGAGAACCATCCTCTGTTCACCTTCCCTGTCTGCCATCCTCAGCATGTCAGGCTGGTCTCTTAGGCTAGCTCTCTGCACGGTTGCAAGATGGCTGCTGCCGTTCCAGGCATCACATGTCAACAAGACACATCCAGGAGCAGCAGAATGGTGGTTGCTATCTGCTTCTTATTTATCTCCTTCTTTTTCTTTAATTGATGAGGAGACATTTTACTTTTTGAAAAACACACTTGTCTATGGAACAACTGAAATCAAAAATGCATATGATTGCCTTAAATTCTAAGCTAACCCTTATAGAAAAGAATACATATTCTTAATATAAATTACTTGATCACAACAATATTAGTTTTGGAAGAAATACGTCAATGTAAATTTATTAATTGTTACGAAGGCATATCTGGATTTAGAAAGCATAATAATTGGGACATTACTTTCAAAAAGTTTAATAGCTGGAAAAATATTTTTTAAAATCCATACTAATTTACTCTCATCAAATTCTTAGAAAGAAAAAAAAAATGAGGAAATCCTACATGAGGATGACTAAAGGAAGAGGGTTCTTGAATATATTAAAGTAAGACAGTGAAAATGTATTTAAAAATACAAAATTTGTATAAAGCATGATATAGCCAAAAATACATGAGAGACAACTCACGCTTTTTTTTTTTTTGGTCTGATTAACTGAATGCATATTTTATTTAACTTAGGCTATAGCTCAAATAGATTAAGAAAATTCACTTTTGCTAAGAAAATGAAAAAGCTGTAAGGGATCTGTTGAACCTATTTAATATTGCTGTTCTGAAAAAAATAAAGAATATTTAATATGAAAATGTTAATTTAAAAAATCAGCTCTACTGGCTATAATACTCCTTAACGTATTTATCAGGCTCATGCTTATAAAATCTGAAGAGAAAATAACTACAAATCACCTAGTTAATCCGTTGGGCATTTCTAGCTGAATTAAGTTTGTCCTTGTTAAAGAAATTATCTTCGTTTTTTTCCCCCCTCAGGAATGCATGTAAAACAGTTCCTGTCTCGATGTACGCCTAAGGCAAAAAGTTCAGTGCTCAATTACCTGCTGTCTGAAGTCTCATATTTTGCAGTGAGCAAGTGAAATAGCATTTTAATCAGAAGTCTTGACCCATACTCTTCTTTTTTCCCTCGCAGCCCTGCAAGCTATTTGGCATATGAAGGTCTTGACCTGAGAAAACCATCTTGGATAACCGTGGCAAGGAGAAGGAAAAACGCAACACCTAGGAGATTTCAGTAAACAGTAGAATCATGCCAACCTAATCTGTGTTAAAATGCTTGGAATGTGGGAGCCGCTGATGATGCCTGTTGTCTGTGTGTCTGACTGAATCCTTTCTTTTCTCAGAGCAGCAAAGCAAGGCCTGGGAACCAGGCCAAATGCCTGCCACTTACCTTAAATTGATCAGCTACTTTGAGATTAAACCCCCTGAAAGCTGCCACACCGTGAAAACAAGGCCTCCTTCACATTAAAGGCAAATTGCGACTTTGGGTTTGCTGTGATCTTTTTTCCATTTTATCCACTTTTTCACAGTGCACACTTTTTTTCCCCCTTTCCATTTATGCTCCAGTGTAGAAGCCAATAGTTACAGCATCTTGGCCAAGCATTCATTAAGGTTTATAAGAACAAAATTTATGGTTATTTAGGAGTTGGCACAAAGACAGACTGTTGCTGGAAAAAGAAAAAGAAATACAGGTGGGAAATATAAGCCTCAACAAAGGCCCATACTATACTGCAGTGTGCGAGGCTCTCAGTAGTGGTCTGGGAGGAAAATTACATCGTATTTAAAATCAGTCACTCCTCTATTCTGGACCCTTCCCATTTTATGGCTCCGTAGATGACCAAAAGAAGTAAGCTGGTCATTCCAAGAGATTTTTCTGTCTTGTGTAAGTGCTGCCACTTACAGGAGCTGGTAGTCATAGAGATAAATAGATCCGTGTTAATCTGAATGATAATCTATCAGTTTGGCTACTGGATGAGATATATTTAAAATATGTATATATATGAATCAGGGATCGGAATAAGGACTCTCCCATGAAGGGATGAACCAAGTTATCCTCCTCAGTAGACCTTACATAATGGCAGAGCTTGTGTTCCCAAAAATGTAGGGTGTGGGCAAAACACACCCTTAATCTCTGAATTCGGGTAGTAATGTGGAATTCTGGCACAGTCTGGAAGTCTATATTCTCCCTCAGGAAATATTGTTAATGATTCTTGTTTGTTTTTTTTTTTAATACTCTCTGAATTTCTGCTCTAGGGAAATGAGAAGGCTTCTTGTTCTGTTATTTGCACTATCTGTAAAGCAAGCATTTTTAGCAGTATACTTCAGTGTTCCACTCACTGTTGTTCCTCCGAGTACTTGCATGTATTGAAAAAATATACAGCTTCAGTGTTTCGTGATGTAAACTGCTCCAAAACATCACTGGTTTTAGCTATGCCAGTAACTTGCTGTATGATTTAGGAAAGGTTAACTTAAATGTCCAGCCATCTCCTATTATCAAATGGGGATACCAATACTGATACTAATAATATATTTTCTAGCAGGTGCAGTGTGATAAGTTATGTGCTTCCGTTTCCAATACCTTGTGCATGTCAGAACATTTTCCCCTTTTATGTGAAATTATGTTCATCTTTTTTACTGACTTTGTTTTGCAAATCCTCCACCTAATTCTTATTCCTTTTTATCAGTGTTACCTCAACATGAAAATACATATATTTGTGTTACATGAACTTAGATTTATTCACATTTTGTTCTGCAAAGGACCAATTTACTTGTACATAAATGAGCACCTTCCCTGACTACACACACATTCAGCTCCCCAAGGGCAGGGGTCATGTCCTTCTTGATATCTCTCCATCAACAAGATGCTCATTAAATTTAGAAAATTGAATATGCACACAATCTTTTGCATCCTTTCCTAAAATGCTCAGTACAACTTGGGCTGCATGAGCACACAATTTGATCATCATCTGCAGATAACACTGATTATTTATGAGCAGGGGGGAGTCTGTTTGTTAAGCAGTGATTAGAAGTCACTTCCCTTGTTCTGCAGAGTGTCAGAAAGCCAGAGCCATCATAGAAGGAACAGAGAAGGCTATGATTCAGTCTGGTTCTGGTCTTTGTTTCTGTATCTTTTCAACCAGTTTGCCTTCCAACTTTGTCATTTAAATTTTCTATCATGCCCAACACTTTGATCTTGACTACTGATTTCATCCTAACCTCCAAGTCTTCATACTTTGTATTTCCTATTACTTCTGATTCTTTCATGTGTCATTGGTTATCATTTTTTTTTTGGAGGGCCTAATATATGTTCAGTGTTAAGCTAAGGGTAATTGAAAATCCCTTTACATAAACAGAAGTAGTTGGTAAAAAATACAAAGCAAACAAACCCCTGCCTGCAGTGATTTGCTCTGTATTTTGGTGCATAGGGTAAAAAGTTGAGGACAATTCAAGAGAAAGCACAATAGAGTCATATTTCATGATGCAACAGCCACTATGGCAGTCAGAAAGTGTGCACTGAAGCAATCACAGGACATATAAGACTCGGAACAGGGCCTAGAAGGATGATGGAAAAAGAAGAGAAATTTCTCAAAGAGAGGGGAATGACATAAACAAAGGCACAGAGGTGGGAATGAACTTGGTCAACTTGCAAATCAAGGCATGCTTTGGGTGGAGAGTGAGAGTGTGGCTGAGAGTGTGTCAGGAAATAGGATGGAGAGGAAGCAAGAGTTAACTGATGAAAGACTTTGAAAGTCAAAAAGAAGAGTTGTGTTTGTCTTGGGAGAAAAATAAGACCCTCTAAAGATTTGAAAATAAAAACTTTAAGATGACTATCAATTCTTTTTGATGCAGAAAGCCCTAGACTTGGAATCAGAACACCTAGGCTCTGGTCTTGATTTCACTATTGTCAAGATGTACAATCTTGAGCAAGTTCGTGAATTTGTCAGTACAGTGTTATCAGTCACCACAGCCACACTGGTATGATGGAATCAGAAGAGGGAGGGCAGCAAGGGCTGCAGAAACTGAGGGGAAGAAACAAACCAGATTCTGCTGATGCTGAATCACAGAACTGACTCTGGTCTACTGGCCTCCAGAAAAAAATCTATTTATAGTTGACTTCTTTCCCTGAAAGTTGGTCTCCTCATCTCAGCTATTCTACAAACCCTGATATTTCGGTACTCTCTCTCCTGTCCCTACTTAACACCACCCAAGAGAACTCAGATTCTCTCTGAGAAGTCACTAATAGAGTCCCAAAAGATCTGCTGTCAACTGAGTATCTCCTCCCCTCACTGTAGACACTCCCTCTGTGAATGTTACGTATCTCTGTATCATGTCTTATTCCCTGTAGGGCTCCAGAGCTTCCACTGGGTCTGACTCTACATGATTTTTACTTCCCACCTAACATAATTCACATTTCCCCACCTTCCTAAATCTCCCACTGACTCCTTTCCCTCCTGCTTATCAGCTGACCCTTCTGATCATTTATTGCCCGCACACGCCTCTATTTCCTCCCATTCTCTTATTCTTGGATCTTCCCGTATTTGAAAAGATGAAGAAGCCACATTGCTAACGCCGAGTCCTGGTGAGAACAAAACCTCAGATAGTGCTACTGAGAGTGTATACTATTACAATCAACTGGAAGTCAATTTGGTAATGCCTCATAAAGCCACAGATGCTCAGAACCTGTTCCAGGTGTCATTCCCCAATAATAACAATTGCCGTCTTACACAGAGTGCTTAACTTTGTTTAAGACTGCCGCACAGCCTTATTCTCTCGAAGGAGGTGCTATCATTATCCTAACTTATCCAGTCACCGAGAAATCAGTAACATGCCCAAGGTCACCCTGTTTGACTTTGTGGTGGAGCTTGGATTTGGAGGAGGCAACTGAGCTTCAGAGCCTAAGATGCGATGCACCAAACTCTGCCTGGAGAAGTTCATGCCCCAGGAGCCACGTTTACAGATGTTCACGAACGTTCACTTCTGCACTGCTTAGGACAGCAAAAAGGGTTGAATGGCCCAACTGCCCCTCCAAAGGGGAATGGGTGGATATACCCAGGGACTGCTATTCAGGAACTAAAATCAATGAACTAGATCCACACACATCAACACAGACAAATCTCAAAAATGGAATCTTGTACGAAAAAGCAAGATGCAGCAAGGTGTATACAGTAACATCACGGATGTAAAATTTTAAAACACCTGAGACAAGAATACATAATTTATAGATAATTATGTACATAGTAGTTTAAAATCTGAGATATGAATGAACTGGAGCAACTGAAGATATCTTGTCTTGAGGGAAGGTGGGAGAGAGAAGGAACAGGAGTGATTTTCTCTATCTGTAGCATTTAAACACAAAAGAGAGGGATAATGAAAATATGGGAAAATATTAACATTTGTTTAATCCAGGTACGCGGTCCATAAGTTTCATGTTATCTTTTAGTTCTTTCCTGTATGTGGGAAATATTTTATATACACAATTTGAAAACATTTAAAAAAGAAGGGAAATGTCAGTCAAAACCTCACAGGGAGGGATCATCATATTTGTTTTCAAGTCAAAACAAATAATTCTTGAGCACAGATTAAGTGCTCAACATTGCAGTGGAATAAAAAGGAAGGAAAAGGCACTTTCTAGGAGCCTAGAGATAAGGTAAGGAGACAGAGCCAGACCCATACAATGATTAGGAAACAACATACACACAGGCAAGGCGGTGTGAAGCACAACGTACTCGTGCTGGAGAAATTGCACCTGAGCGGTGTTAGCAGCTTGGCTGTGGATGAGGCTGCAGGGGAAGGAGGATGTACTGGGCTTGTCTCTAAGCCACTGGTAGCCCTGTGAGTATGATCCCTAGTGTGACAGCTGAGGCTCGGCTCTTACAGAGAGCAGGATAGGAGACACCTTGGCTACCCATCCATTGGTTACCAACGTACAGAGGCCAAAAACCCAACTTCATTATTTTGTAGCCTGGCCTCTGTTTATACATCTCATGTCCATAGAATTGGCGTGATTAGAGCCTAGAGATAATACCGAAGGTACTGACTCAACTCGCAAGGTATTTTGACTGTATAATATTTGTTATGTATTTAGTGCTTTAAATGTATACAATACTTGACAAATATGTAGAAAGACAAGTTTTCTTCCCTGGGGAGTTTATGTTCTAATGTGGACAAACAGAACAGAGGGATAGGATCTTGACTAGTGGAAGACTTGGCAGCTACGGAGAGGCTGACGAGGTAGAAGAGAAGGAAGCTGAAATCTCTGGAAAAGTGGAGTCCTTTAAAAGTAAACATGATATTCAGTCAGTATAATGCTCTGGAAAAAACTTATTGTAAGAGCAGGGGAAAAGGTTAAGAAAAACGAAATCTGTTTGTGACAGTAATAAGATGAGCTGCAAAGCAGCCCCAATACTTCAGCAGCAGCTACAATGTATTGAAGCTACCAGATGCCAGGCAACCTGCTAGACTTCTTGCATTTATTCTTTCACCAGT